AACTGTATTAACTGTTGTAACACTTAGAATACTTAAGCCCTACACAAACACTTTAAAACTCTCAATTCGCTTGAGGTGATCCGTTCGCTGTTTCGCTTCGAGTCGTTCCGATTACTGATTGACAGCGTGCCATCCCTGCAACGTTTTTATAGTCGATACCTCATCCCTAGAATTATCGAGAATATTCCACACATCTCTAGCAGTAGTTTCCGCTATCTGACAATAGATGGCGTTGTACTTCTCGAGCATTCTAGGTGCTACTAGATCCTTCGATATTCGTTCGACTATTCGGCGATAGATGGCGTTACTCTTACCGGCGTAACAATATGAATGGGGAGGTGTAAATGTGAAGAATTTTATATGATAAAATAAGTAAAAATAAAATTGAAATTGATAGTGGGTTTGTATACCTTTCGACACCCGTTAATAGAATCGAATTTTGTGAATAGAACATAATTGACGTTCACAGAATCAGTTAACGCCCACACAATATAATACTATGTATGTAAGCGGGTATTATTATACTTTAACTCATGCGAAGATTTAGAAATGCCTTGGGCTTCTTCTTGTTATCAAACTACATATGTGTTTGCGTTACTTGGTGTATAGAAGCATAACCACCCTACATACTAAAGATAATATTAGCTCATCAGGGAATACATACAGGAATTTATAATCATCCATAAGGTCCGGCATGTAAATTGATTTTGTATTTGTTGGTTCATCATCGCGTGTCTGTTATTATGATTAAGTCGAAACTATGAACAGTTGCTGTTAGTTAACGAATATTTTAATCAGAGTAACTAGGCACGGAAGCCTCTATAAGCTCCGCTTAATATCAGGTGAGTCGTGAGCTCTATTGTCTATAATAGCTACATATTTTAAAAAGGTTGCCAACTGTAGGCAACAACATTTTTTTCCACTAAGCAAAACTGAAAAACAAAGCAACAATTCAGTGGTCGGCAGCTATGTACCACTATTCATGTAAATCAGTTTTCTTGGAAGCTATCTAGTAAGACTTAGAATATTTAAAATTTTATCGTTGTAGGAATATTTGCTACAATATAAATTACTTTCGTATTTTTATTATTCAGTATTATTTATTATTCAGTATTATTTATTATTCAATATACCTATTCAGTAAATCTTAGACTTAGACGTTATTGAGAGGTCTGTTTTCATTAAACGTTAGACACGACCACTACTCGAAACTTATTGAAAAATACATCTTTTCTTATTTCTGAGAGCAAAAGTTTGGTCTTCTCATGTCGTGAGCGGACAGATTGACTTAAAGAACAAACACGAATGAATATCTATTGCGTCCCGAAATCTAGAGTTTGGACATTTATTATTTTAAAACTTTGACAAATATTTTGTTGAAACTAGTTTAGGCAAAAAGGTTGACTTTTTTATTGCCCTTGTAGGTAGACGAGCGTATGATGAGTATGGCGAGTGGTTACCGTCGCCCATGGACTTCAGCAATGCCAGGGGCAGAGCCAAACTGCTGCCTACTATTTTGCTCTGAGCAACTTGCTGTCGAGGTAGACTGCGGCGCGGACATGATCAACAGTGATCATTGGTTGCACGCTTGCACATATACTCATAGATTTATTTGAAGCCCTTGTTTGAATTACAATGTACATATTTTACTAGAAACGAATTCATTTACTTTAAAATATACACATCACATGTACGTATTCTAATTAATGTTTTTTAACCTTTTGATAATGAGGTCAATATTGTTCTCATTAATCTGCCTGTTCACATTACCGACAGGGTACGGACGTGAAAGTATATTTTATAATTTAATTGTGAGTATTACAGGTTGTATATTTAGTCTCTTTTACTCTTTAAATCCTAATTTATTTTATTAGACATATCTTATCCTAGTATTTTTTTTATTGCTTAGATGGGTGGACGAGCTCACAGACCACCTGGTGTTAAGTGGTTACTGGAGCCCATAGACATCTACAACGTAAATGCGCCACCTACCTTAAGATATACGTTTTGAAGTCTCAGTATAGTTACAACGACTGCCCCACTCTTCAAACCGAAACGCATTACTGCTTCACGGCAGAAATAGGCAGGGTGGTGGTATTTACGCGTGCGGACTGACAAGTGGTCCTACCACCAGAAAATAGTTATATTAGTTATTATTAACCTACGAATAAATATAAGTCATTATTTATTCGTAGTTATTAACGTAAGAAGTCTAGTTGACAGATTGACAGATATCTGTTGTATGTTATATTTACAAATGCTACTTACCTACCTTGAAAAATGAGGTTGAAATCCCAATTGTAATGTATAACAATTGTCACTTCCAACACGAATGCATGAGTGTCTTGCCGTAGAAATAGACATAATGGTGGTATTTTCTTGTATGTGGTTGCAATACGCCGTTTTCGCGGGCCGGGGGCTGAATCGCCGTAGCTGGGGGATATGTAGGACTCGATGGCCGACGATGAAAAAGGCCAGGGTTCGCTCGAAGCCCGATCTCCGTCCGATACAGAACCCAAGCAAGGGGATTCCTCGGTTATCACTACAACCAGAGACCCAGCTCTCCGCAAGAACGCTCGGCCGAATGAGTTGCCGAGGCGTGGAATTTCAGTTTGTAACTTAACTACTACTAGATGATGACCGAGCTTTGCCGAGGTTTTTTTTTTACAACGTCATCTTGTGTCTTTAAAGCGGTTAGTTGCCCTCAATTAAGAAAAATAGTATTATTATTCGCCAATAGATGTCGGGAAGAGTTGAGTATTGAAAACACGAATAAAACAATATTTTCTGAAAATAAATCGTAGCTAGATCGATTTATCACCCCCGAAATCCCCTGTATACAAAATTTTATGAAAATCGTTGGAGCCGTTTCCGAGATTCAGATTATATATCTATATTAATATACAAGAATTTCTCGTTTAAAGGTAAAATATATTTTAATTACTTAATTTCTAAGTTTGTGTACAATAAACTTTTAAATGATCCCGATTGCAATGTTGGTGCGTCAGTTTTACAATAACAAGGCAAATATTAGTTCATTGAATATCCAGACCACGACAGATCCGTCGTATAAATTTACCAATGAATAATAAACGTTTATTTCCTGTTATTGAAGTTCTGCTTGTATTTGTCATTCTTCATGACATCACCAAGTTGTACACAAATTATTTCCTTCTTAATATATCTTACACGTAGTATATATGTATACTACAATACTACAATAAATAAGATTTGTGTTGTTTTTTATGACTAAGATATTCCTATGTAATTGAGACCATAATTGCAAATATCAAAGTGGAGGGCCACAATCACATTGTCCAATAGAAAATTGGCTCTCGAAACGATCAGACATCAGAGTCAAAGAATAGCTAAAATCTTTCGAAACATTCCAAATTCGTCTTCATAAAACACTTGAATTTTGTTCATTCAATTTGAGTACTTCACTTCGTAATGGTTTAAAATTGCAATAGACTTTTAGTTTGAATTATTATCTATATTTTATGTATTTTAATCTAGATGTTCTTGAAATTTTGATTCGTACTCAAATAAATACCTTCAGTGAAAATAATTTTAACAAATTTGAACTCCAAATAAAAGTGAAAATTGACTGTAATAGGCACAAGATACACAAGATTCACTATTTACATCATCTTTGAACTGATTTTCGCAATCTAAGTGATAGAAATAAAGCAAAAAAATATTTGATAGTATTTTTAATGTGTATTATTGTTTATCTAATTCGACTTGAAATTTATTACATTTTGTTGGCTTAAAGATTGAAATGATTTTAAATTATTTTAAGTTACCCGTGATAAATAAATTCTAATTCGCATAATAAGTCCGTATCGTATCTGTCTGTGTTGTTACTAATAACGATGGCTTAAGTAGACCTAAGGTCATTCGGTTTGAGCTCCGAGAGCTCACGTCATGAGCTTTGAAGTCGTCGTGGACTAAAAGGATAAGACGTCCGGTGCATTTGTGTTGAGCGATGCACCGGTGTTCGAATCCCAGGCGGGTACCAATTTTTTTAATGGGATACGTACTCAACAAATGTTCACGATTGACTTCCACGGTGAAGGAATAACATCGTGTAATAAAAATCAAACCCGCAAAATTATAAATTGCGTAATTACTGGTGGTAGGACCTCTTGTGAGTCCGCACGGGTAGGTACCACCTCCCTGCCTATTTCAGCCGTGAAGCAGTAATGCGTTTCGGTTTGAAGGGTGGGGCAGCCGTTGTACTGATACCTTAGAACTTATATCTCAAGGTGCGTGGCGCATNGTGAAGGAATAACATCGTGTAATAAAAATCAAACCCGCAAAATTATAAATTGCGTAATTACTGGTGGTAGGACCTCTTGTGAGTCCGCACGGGTAGGTACCACCTCCCTGCCTATTTCAGCCGTGAAGCAGTAATGCGTTTCGGTTTGAAGGGTGGGGCAGCCGTTGTACTGATACCTTAGAACTTATATCTCAAGGTGCGTGGCGCATTTACGTTGTAGATGTTTATGGGCTCCAGTTACCACTAAACACCAGGTGGGCTGTGAGCTCGTCTACTCATCTAAGCAATAAAAAAAAAGGAATAACGGAATAACATTGTGTAATAAAAATCAAACCCGCAAAATTATAATTTGCGTAATTACTGGTGGTAGGACCTGTTGTGAGCCCGCGTGGGTAGGTACCACCGCCCTGCCTATTTCTGCCCAATAAATAACTGTTATTCCCGTCTGCCATTTATAGTGTCTCTGGACATGAACACTGACCTACTCCAGTGCACGCGATTACCCGCTCAAGAGATTCTTAGAAGGAATACTGCAATGAAGTGGTTTAGTGATGGTCGGTTGCCATTTAGTCAAAACAGGCACTTTAATTAGTGCCATTTAATTTAATTAGTGCCACTATTGTTGAGTAGAGGCCCTTTTTGGGTTGTTGTGGCTTTTAAACGATATCGGCTACCGTCCTCTATTTGCTGATACTTAAAACATAAAGTAAATATAATGTTGATATTGTAATTTTTTTAATGAAATTCAGACATTAATTTAACATTGAATATTGAATACAAAAGTCTAAATTAAACATGAAATGATAGAAAACTTCTTGATTGAAAACTATGGTCTAAAGTATAACTTTTTTACGTGTAGATTTCAAGTTGGTAGTTTAATCCAGAGCCTCGTGGGCTTTTCAACTTTATGTTGGCATAAGAAAAACCGATGCCTCCTGCAGTAATACTTGCTTCAGCATCCGAGTGGTCTAGGTCACGGGCTATAATACCCTGGAAAAGAAAAACAAAATCTGTTTGTAAAAAATTCTGGAAATACGTATTGCATTTTTTGTTTACATGTTTAACTACAACTATATTGTAGATAAAAGTAGTAATAATAAGTCATCGCAATTATTGTTTGTACGTTTACTTATAAGATTGACATTGACAAATCAAACCTTGTACTGTTGTTGTTGTAGGTACTAAACATGGACCGTAACCCATAGATACTAAAAAAAACCGTCCCGTAATGAACCGAAATGGAATGCAAGGTTACAGCTAATGTTTCATGACCGAACAAAGAAGGTCGCTATAGTCACACTATAATATGGATTCATAACACGTCCTACCACTAATTAGTACTTTTTTAATGTACAAATCGTCGTAGTCTAAAGGATAAGACGCCCAGTTTAAGAACAATTACCTCAGTGTTCAAATCCCGTAGGCAGGTATCAATTTTTATCTCGACCAGGTATCCGTAAATGGATTCCCCAGCGTTAAAAAAAAAAAAAAAAAAAGTGATCAATTTTTATAATATATGGTAAGACGTATGTATTGTGAACTTGTGGGGTGGTACCACGAGTTCACAACACCCTACCTATTTGTGCTGTGAAGCAGTTTCAAGAGATGGCACATATGTATGTATATAGCTTCATTCGCTTTATTGGGTACGTTTTTGGGTATCCAATGAAAGTTAAAAATAAAAAAACTAAGTACCTATGTATTACATACGCATTTTCAAAACGACCAATATTTACCGTAAACATTAAATGTAGGTACGTTGAACAATTTCACAATAGCTTTCAACTACGAGTAATTACTGTTATTACCGTTAATTTCAATATTAATTATACTACGTGTTTACTAGATAGCTGTTGACGTATCTTAATTAATAGTGCCATCAAACAAGTATGAAGATTGAGTAATAAATTGTCTAAGTTGTACCGTCATCAAGTGATAAATGTTCGTATTTGTTGGGACACACTGTAAGAATCTATCTAATATCTGTGTTGTTTGTTGATTTGGTATTCGTGAAAATTTTCAATACGGTATTACGTGTTCGATGAAAGCATTAATAACTTTGTAATAAATAAATTTAGTCGCGGAGTAATGCAAAATCATACGGCCGTACTCGGTTGAATATGAATATTAGATATGCTTTGGTAATTAGTTACATATGAACTGCAACCTATCATTGGCCTCTGGAATGAATCCCTTACCACGGTGTTCCCCGTGGATCATCCGTTGAAATCTTACTTTGAAAGTATCCTTAGAATCTAACTATTGTTTCAGTCAATTTGGTTCATTAGTTATTACAATTTCTTTAGTGCTTAACATGTGTTATACATATTATATTCATTTGACCTTGTAGGCACTTAAAAGAGTTTGTGTTGTGTTTTTTCCTTCCTGGATGGTATCTTTCGGTTACATGTTCTGACTAATACTGAGAAGCGAATAATCTTTTTGAGGAACACGTCTTTCAAGCTAGCGGAATAATATTTTATTGATAACACAAAGAACATTTGTCATTTATTTGAAATAATATGTCGATATTTTTGTTTTTATTGCCTCTGTAGACAGACTTATATATGGCCCACCTAACGGTGAGTATTCACGGCTGCTCATGGACGTCCTCAATGCCAGGGCCACAGCCTAACTGCTGTTTACCGCTGAAGACTCCGCGCAAGTTTCGTTCGAAGAAGGACGATTCATGACTTAGAATATTTTGTGAGAAAACTTTTGAATACTACCATTAAGCATCATGTCCATTCGAAATAATTTGAAACTGACATTGTTATACTATAAGAATTCTAAAGAACATATTGTTATCTAAGTTCTAACTTTTCTGACTGTTGCTTAATGGCAAGAACGTATACTAAGAATCTATTTACGCCGCGAACTTTCCGTTTTGTAGAGTCTAAGTTAATTTTATTATTTGTACTGTAATTTTAATGTTGGAACAGCTGGAGTAAGGAAACTATTACTTTAACTTTATACATAACATTATGGCTGCCATGTTGTTATTTCTTATACCACGCAATAAATTTTACTCGCGAGCTCGAGACTATAATGTGAATATAATGTAGTTTTAAACTAAAAACCTATTTGTTTGTGGAACGAAAATTCTTTGCATTTCATAAAAATGTCGGAGGTTATCATATTTTTGTTAATGTTAAATCATGACAAGATAAAAAAGAAATGATTGTGTTCTGAAGTTCATACAAGTTTAATGTTATGTCGGATTCGCTTGAATATTATTTTATTGTGATGCCGGCCTTCATTTTACCTAAATACATGCATATGCATATAGGTTACGCGTTAACAATTGCGATTTTAGTAACTAAAGGGGCCATACATTGATTACGTAAGGGCCGTAAGAGGGGGTTTTGTTTAACATTTCTAAATTATCGGCTAAAAGCTATTCTTACGTAATATTTTAGTCGAAATGTATAGTAGTAGAATGTACTACTTCGAAAGTAGAATGATAGGTATTTTAAAGCCAAGCGTTAGGTCAATAAATTATGGAATCTATTTTTTCTTGTATACTTTTAACGAGTAGAATCTATTATAAATAATTACAATATCTTAATAAAATAAAAATTTTCGACAATATCACCTTATGGTGTATTATAAAGTTCTAAGTTCCCAAAATAAGAGAACATGCGTTGTTCCATTTAAAACTCATATTATATAAGTGAACACAAGGTGTATCTACGTTATAAAAGCAAGCTACGCTAGAAACTTTTTGCTGTTCTAATTTTAAACAAAGAAAAATTGAATTTGGAAAACAAAGTGTCTAGTGTCAATATTTATGGTTCCAATGTTACAAAGTGAATGCTTTTAAATTACACATTTTAGTTACACTTAAGCGTATAGTAACACATTTTATTCGTAACTCCAGATGGGCTTAAGGTCTTTTTAGCTAACTACAGCAATAATTATAAAAAAATCAATGTAAACAATATACTATATTAGGTATTAAAGGTCAGCAAATAATAATTCTGGTTTTTGTACTAAAGCAAGAGTCTCTGTAAAATATCTATCCATTACAGAAACACGGTTGTTGTATATTATTGAAAAATTGAATCAACCGTACCTGGATTTTGTGATGTTAAAATTTCGAAGTGATCTCAAATTTGACTTTTGTACCATTTTTTCTGGAGTAACATGGCGGCCGTGGGGCAGAGAAATACATTAGATATAATAATAAATAATTTCGACAAGATTAATTGGCTTACCATAATCAGTTGTTGTCCCGGATCCGAAAAAAATACTTCTTTGACTCGTTTCTTGAGTGGGATGGCGTTATATTCGGCTTTTTCTTGCCACAGAAGCCTCTTATTAAAACTAGTACCTACTATAAGATCTTTACATTGTATAACACAGACTAAAGATAAAAATATGAAAATCAAAACGGGAGCGAACTTCATTTTGTTGTTGTTTTTTTTTAAAACGTTTACCACAATGTGTAATGTGTCACGTTCGACGGTTATTGTAACACTGAACAAGCTGGCCTTTGCGTAGATAATTTAAATACTTGTTTGCCTTATTCTGTCATCTAGGGGAAAAACTGGTTACCGACCGTGTGTGTATAGCCGACGTATGACAAATTTTTGTAGTCATAGCCGAGTAACCGACCAGTGACCCTTATAGTGTGTTGTGACCTTATCTGGGTGACGATATAAAATTTTGTATATGGTTTTTAAGTTATTATCGAAAGTCATTGACATCATAACTTAGGGTGTCATTATCCATCTTCAGATATGAGGTCGAATTCTTATTCTTATCCGCAATGTTACTTCGGAGTTGTCCAATTGCGCTGAACTAATTTTAAGTGAAATAGATGTTTTTTCTAATTGTCTCACAACTTACAGGAAAAATCTGTCGCAGATCATTTCACAATTAAATATAAATTAATATTAAGCAATCAATCAAATGTAATCAAATCTTAGTTTTATATTTTTTTTTATTTTTGTTGTTAATGCACTGTCGATTGCCACCTATAATTGAGGTGACATCTGCCATGAACTTTTGTCAATTGTTCAACGTTTTGTATTGATGATCACTTTGTTGGTGCAACTTAATAAATAAATAAATAAAATAAATTCTCAATTGTATAAGTACGATGCTGTTCAACCCGTCAAACTGGAATTTCTTCTGATCAGTAATCGAATAGGCTCTTTCCATTAATATATCCAGACGTTACTGGATAGATGAAGAAAAATATTTGTCGCTGCCGTTATATGTATATGTAAATGTAAATATAAATGTATATATATAAATGTAATTATTATTAGTATTATATTATTATATAGTAGTTTGTATTGAGAAATTTAAATCTTAAATAGCCGAATGGTGATAACCTAATCAGTGTTTGATTTCTATCGTAACAACACGTATTGTGTGTATTTATTGGTACGAGCATCTTTGTTTAGCTGTTTATGACATCCATTTAATCATTTTATGTCATACGCTGATTCACTTTCTCATAAAAAATGACAATATATTTTAAACTAGCGACCCGCCCTCGCTTCGCTTCGGAAACATTAAATTTTATAATTGATAGCTGAGTCCCGCGATGTTAGCCGCGGTTATTGTCGTACCGCGGGTGACGCCGCAGGGCGAAGCTAGTCTAAAAAAAATAGCCTAAGTTACTCCTTATATCATCAGCTACCTATCAGCGTCAGACAGACAGACAGACAAAAATTATAAAAAATGTTATTTTGGTGTATGAACCGTATATATATTCATATTATTATGCATATAGTAAAAAGCGGGTATTTCAATGTTACAAACAGACACTCCAATTTTATTTATATGTGTAGATGTTTTAATGATTTCATTAGGGTTATGGTTCTACTCGCACAGCTAAAGGCAGCGGCTTGGCTGTGCCCCTGGCATTGCTGACATCCGTGAGCGATGGTAATAACTTACGATCACGGCCTTATACTCATTAATCACACGGGCAATGTATAAAAAAGCTAAAAAGCAGAGTTCATACTTTTAATATACATAAGTCATCGTGGCCTAAAGGATTAGACTCCCGGTGCATTCGTATCATGCATGCGACTCTGTCGGTGCTCAAATCCCGCATGCAGATACTGTTTTTTCCAATGAAATACATACTTAACAAATGTTCACGATTGATTTCTACGGTGGAGGAAAAACATCGTGTAATAAAAATTAAAACCGCAAAATTGTAAAAATGCGTTTCGGTTTGAAGGGTCGGGCAGCCGTTGTATTGTTAAAAAAACTGAGAACTTAGAATTCATTTCTCAAGGTGGGTGGTAGTATTAACGTTGTAGCTGTCTATGGGCTCCGGTAACCACTTAATAACAGGTGGGCCGTAAGCCCGGCCACTCATGTAAGCAATAAAAATAATAGTTATAAAAGCGAATAGTTAAATACTTGCATGAAACGATAATAACATTTTTCTTCTTTTTGTTTTCATCACTTCGAATACAAAAGTCCCAAGTTAAGCGTCCTCCGTATTCCGAACCAAATTTTATCTCAGTGAGGAATGGTAACAAACTAAATGGGAAAATAACTGAGTGGCTTATCTGTTGGTGAATTTCGTGTAAAGCGGTTCCTGGCAGCCGACGCTGAGCATAATTTATTTCCTGAAAAGAAGCAAAGTATGCCGCCGAAGCCAGGAGCGTTTGTACACATTAACGACGCTACACCTCATGAAAAATCACATGGGAAGTTAGCCCGCACGTAAAACTTGCAAAGATCTTAGGATTTTTGTAGAATCATGTTTCGTTTTCACTTTTCTGGTTATAAAGTTCTGTTCGACTTTGTCTTTCTCTAAATCTCTGCCAACTAAATTTATTTATATGACATAATTTTATTAATTTGTCATGTTTACCCTGGGTTGCTCTTAAGATTAAACTGGCGTTAAAGTGTCATTTGCATTAGTGTGAGGTTTGTGGCAAACAAAGCAAAAATTTTACTGATGTGACAAAATTAAATTTCAAGACCGTGCATAATAGAAACACTATCTGCAATTAATCTTATTAAAATAATTAATTATCTTCTAGCATTTTTTTCTTTCAAGTGTAGATTTTTCTTAGGCCTGTTTGGTAATGTGAGTGTTGTAACATCTGTAATATGTTTAAACAATTCCAACTGACCGGCTATTCGAAATAATATCTTTTCATTTGTATGTCAAATAAATAAAATAACGACAGTTATTTAAATTTTAAATTGCTCTGAGATAATAAATGCAGTTTATTTGCAATTGTAACCTGGATTTAGCCACATTTTGCATAATGCCGTAACTTGACAGATAACAGAAGAGGAACAGTGGTTAAATTGAGTTTAAATTGCATTTCACTTGTTTTGGAATGTTGTGGCTACATGTATGCGACCGCATTTTAGTACTAAAATATATCTAGTAATAAGCAAATTGATCAAAGTCCTGCGTGTGCATGGCACGATAATCTAAATCGTTGAATAAATGAACAAACATATGCTTTCAATTAATATGGCGATATCGCTATTATTATCATTGCTTTATCTTTAGCACTATTCCAACGAAATCAATACCAGCTCAATTGTAATCTGTATATATAAAAATGAATTGCTGTTCGTTAGTCTCGCTAAAACTCGAGAACGGCTGGACCGATTTGGCTAATTTTGGTCTTGAATTATTTGTGGAAGTCCAGAGAAGGTTTAAAAGGTAGATAAATATGAAAATGCTGGGAATTAAATTAAAAAAAAAACAATTTTGTTTTTCCTTTGATATGTCCCCCGTCGGACGGATTCCTTTTGTTTGTTTTAAGTTTATTTTATACAAAAGTTTAGGTATTTTATTTATCGATTGAGGCACTACGAAGTCTGCCGGGTCAGCTAGTCATATATTAAATTACTAACGTCGTTAGTGCGTAGTTAAACAAAATCTAATTTATATTAAGGATCTTTAGGTAATTTAGCGTATTTCTTCCAAATGACGTTTAGCTTTCATCGATATGTTTTTATAATAGTGCCTAAAAATTGCAATTTTCGTAAATAATCGTAAATCAGCTACTAGTTACAATGAAATAAGGCTACATTGTCTTTTCCATTCGTACTGTATTTTCCTTGCTGAATTTTCTTATACCTTTGGAACGAAACAATTCTCGTTTCCGAGTCTTCCTTAAGCCCTTGATAGTAACAATGATTAGTATAAGTGAGAGGACACGATTAATATTCGGGAGGTGGAGTGCCGTCAGTCACTGAATAATCAGATTTACCGCGCGGGTCGAAGTGGCTCCTTCCCTATCAAATATAATTGAGGAGATTTACTCTTTAATTTGAATAAGGAAATATTTTCGTTTCTGAAACTATGCTTGTAAGGGACGAATGAAGCCATTATGTGAATATTTTAATAGAAAATTAATTAAAAACTATAATTCAAAGATTATTTTAGGTTTCATAAGAATCATTTTCCAATTTTATTTCTTTCTTACAAATCACCATAAATGCTAATACAATTAAAAGTCGGTTGCCAATCAAATACTTCCTTTTTTATAACGTACTTTTGACCTTCAATTGATGTTGCCAGTTTCGAAGGGGAACGCACGGAGGCAAAGAAGGCCGAATCTCTGCGAAGCCCGTCGGGATTAGCGTCAAACGAAGAAAAAGAGACGCGGGGAATAAGCCGTAATCCACGAGACGTGACCTAAATTCTTCCTTAAACATCGACGATTTGATATCCTCGTGGAAACAATTTGATTTTTTTTTCTTTTTAACCGTGCCCTTTGACAGAAAATTGGATTGGTTCCTGTTTTACGCGTGAGTTGTTCAAAACTCGGTTACAGAATTCATAATTTTGTGAAGCTGCTACTTCTTTGTTCTTTCGCCAATTTGTAGTACCTACATATTATTAACACTCTTGCGGGATGTAAATGTTTCGCATGAAAGTAAATAAGGAATTAGGACCAAATTAAACGACCCCAAAGTAAAATTTTATATTGCGTTATAGGTAGAACACAACTACACATGAGACAGAAAACAAGTATACCAATATCCTGAATACCTGATATCTTTATCAAAAATAATAATTTTGACGGATGGTACAGATGATTAATGTCACTTAAAAATTGTGGCGGTGAACTCATGTACTGTCTGTATTCTTCTTCAATCATCACTACCGGTTACCGGTCCATTTAGTTTAAACATAGCCTTACATTTTAGTAGTAGGAATTGTTTTGATAAATTGCTAATATTAATTAGGCACGCAGTATATTACTTGTCTAGGTAATTGATAATATTTATTTTGATTAATATGAAATCATTATTTTTGAATGAAATTATGTACATTGTAGTAATATGTACATCGTTTACTTAATGAATGTTAATTTAAAATGTATGATTTAATATCCTGGTAAACTGTGACAGCGAGAAATTAGCTTAATTAAACTTAGTTTAAATTGTTTGCACATTGTTGTTTTAATTATGGCTGATGTTCAGAATCGTGTGATTATTTAATTAATGTGATATGGAATGCTCGGTTTTTAAACAATTTTTTACTAGCTT